ATATTTCTATATATCTTTAAATTTTGTTTTATTAAAATTTTTAAATATTTATTTTTTTTTTTTTTTTTTTTTTTTTTTTTTTTTTATCAAACGCAATTTTACAGGAACAAAAAATCTGAAAACCCTTAGGAGCTACATGCTGCAAATCAGATTTTTTTTTTCTGTTAACCCAAGTAACACAACAACTGCATGAAAATGTATGTACAGCTTTGTTTAAAGATTTCAAAATTTTAAACACACAAAACAGACTTAATATTATGTTACATGAGTTCTTAGTACAAATAATAAACTAATTCCATATTTCAGGTGATAAATCACCAACCGAGCACTAGTAGGAAGATGGGTGTATGGTCTCACCCAGTGCCAGATTTTCAAACTGCTGGGCCAAATCTTTCATGGAGAGTTTGGTTTCATTTTCATCCTCCAGTTTGGACAGTTCTCTCAGGATCTTACAACCACTTAGAGCGCTCAGCACTGACTCTCTTGTCTGAGAAAAAACACAAGAGAGGGCAAGAGAAGCTAACTGACAAAATAATCTACAGTGTTTCAGCACAGCCATGTGTGTAAAGAAGTTTATGTATGTTTACCTACAGAGTGAACACATTTAAGTGTAATTTTATTGCTATCTTTACTGGAACATTTACAATTTTTTGATGTGCCTCAGTAAATATTTGCAAGGAGCTGTTAAAGGCTCTGGGTGGTGAGAAAGAGCTTCCAGATGACTGGGCTACTACAGCAACGGTAGTTAGAGGGACAGACAGGAAGGTACTTGGTGTGTTGTCTGGACAGAGAATGGATGATAAGGAAACCTGGTGGTGGAATAGTGAAGTGCAGGAAGCTAGTCAAAGAAAGAGGTTAGCCAAGAAGAAATATGACAGTGAGAGGACTGAAGATAAGAGACAGGAATTTAAGGAGATGCAACGTAGAGCCAAGAGGGAGGTGGAAAAGGCAAAACAGAAGGTGTATGATGAGCTGTATGGGAGGCTGGACACTAAAGATGGTGAGAAGGACTTGTACCGATTGGAGAGACAGCGGGATCAGGCTGGAAAGGATGTGCAGCAGGTTAGGCTGGTTAAAGATAGGAATGGCAATGTTTTAACAAGTGAGAAGAGTGTGATGGGAAGATGGAAGGTGTTTTTAAATTCATTCATTAAACCTTTATTTAAATAGATAAATCACAATGAGCCTCAAAGACTCATTTACAAGTGAGATCTGTTTAGACAGACAAAAAAGTGGTAAACTGGACACATGTAGGAATTGGAGGCGAAAAAATTCCTATCAGCCTTTTTTTTCCTGCCTGAGGAAAAAAAACCTCTAATATTAAAAAACACCTCGCACAAACAAGCACATAGTGATATAGACATTCTGCGGGGGTGGGGGGCGAGAGCGGTCAGCATGTTCATAGATGCTCTCGAGGGCACTGTAAGAGTTCTGATAAGGACAGAATAATCAGTCAATGTCCTCCGGTGAGATCCATAAACATTCTCGAGGTATGTCAAGGAATGGCAAGAATAACGTCTATGAGAATCCAAGAGTCCTGAAATGATGACACAAGTTTATTCAGCTGGTTTCATCTGGTTATCAGTTGGAAATTCCTCAGGGAGGGGGTGGTGAGCATCAGATCACATGTTCTCCAGGCGAATTCAGATAAGATGACCTTCAAGGCCAGCCAAGGGAGCCAAATTCAGATAAACACACAGTTGTTTTGGGGACAGGCAGAACTTAATGACATCTACCTTGAGTCTGTGTTGGTTGACTTGGTTCCGAAATGTCCAAATTACAAGGCCACACCGATGGAACATGACTGAGAAAAATCCCCAAGATCTAATCCATTCTGCCCAAAGCATTTGATTCCGGGTACTCGAGACACAAACCAAGCCATCATAAAAGGCAAGCAGCGTGATCGGGTCCAAATTTGCTGCCGACGACTTCCTTGATTGATTTATAAAACCAGCAACCAGCCAAATCCAAGTACTCTGAGGAGCTAATGAATGAAGAGAATGAAAGAGAAAGAAGAGTAGAGGTCATAGAAACTGTGGACCAGGAAGTGGATTAGTGAGGATGAAGTCAGGAAAGCTCTGAAAACAATGGAAGGGGAAAGCAGTAGGATCTGACGACATACTAGTGGAGGTTTGAAAATGTCCTGGAGAGATGGCAGTGAGGTTTTTTGACTCAAATATTCAATGGCATATTTGAGGGTGAGAAAATGCCTGAGGAATGGAGAAGGAGGTGCCCATTTTTAAAAACAAGGGTGATGTACAGAGTTTGTAGCAACTACAGGGGAATTAAGTTGATGAGTCACACAATGAAGATCTGGGAAAGAGTTGTGGAAGCTAGATTTAAGTAAGTAAGTAAGTAAACTTTATTTATATAGCACTTATCATAGATACAATCACAAAGTGCTGTACAACAATAAAGAAATAAAAGCTTAAAATAAAATAAAAATAATAACAACTCATTAATAAAAACAGTAAAAACAGCTGGAAAAAACAGTAAAACATTTTACTAAAAGCTTGTCGAAATAAAAATGTCTTAAGCTGCGTTTTAAAAGAATCAACAGAGATGTTCATACGGAGAGACAGGGGCAGGGCATTCCACAGCCGGGGGGCTACGGCCTGAAAGGACAGGTCACCCTGATTTTTAAACCGGGTCTTAGGAACCTTAAGAAGGTTCAGCGCTGAAGACCGAAGGGTGCGGGCTGGAGAATAAGGAATCAACATTTCAGTGATGTACTGGGGGGCCTGTCCATTTAAAGCTCTAAAAGTCAAAACTAAGATTTTAAAATTAATTCTAAATTCAACAGGCAGCCAATGAAGAGAAGATAAAACTGGTGTAATGTGAGCCCTTCTGTTAGTTCCTGTTAAAAGCCTCGCAGCAGAGTTCTGGACCAATTGGAGACGAGCGACGGCAGTTTTGTTAAAACAAGTAAAAAGGGAATTGCAATAATCTAAACGAGAAGAAATAAAAGCATGAATAATCATCTCCAGGTCAGATCTGGATAACATTGCCCTCAGTTTAGAAATGTTTCTCAGATGATAAAAGCAGTTTTTTACCAGAAGCTTTGAATGTTTGTCCAAAGACGAGATCTTAGATGAGAGGTGACTGTGAGCAGCAGTATGGTTTCATGCCAAGAAAGAACACCACAGATGCCATCTTTGCTTTGAGGATGCTGATGGAGAAGTACAGAGAGGGTCAGAAAGAACTCCATTGAGTCTTTGTGGATTTAGAAAAAGTAAATGACAGGGTGCCGAAAGAGGAGGTGTGGTATTGCATGAGGAAATCTGGAGTGGCAGAGAAGTATGTTAGACTGGTACAGGACATGTATGAGGACAGCAGGACAGTAGTGAAATGTGCTGTAGGAGTGGCAGATAGCTTCAAGATGGAGGTGGGAGTGCATCAAGGATCAGATCCGAGCCCCTTCTTGTTTGCTCTGGTGATGGATCAACTAACAGATGAGGTCAAGCAGGAATCCCCATGGACTATGATGTTTGCAGATGACATTGTGATCTGTGGTGAGAACACGTAACAGGTGGAAGAGAACTTGAAGAGGTGGAGGTATACACTTGAAAGAAGAGGAATGAACGTCAACCGTAGTAGACAGAGCACATGTGTGTGAATGAGAGGGAGGCTGGTGGAAGTCAGACCACAAGGAGCAGAGGTCACAAGATGCAGGACTTCAAGTACTTGGGAGTTCACTGTGCAGGAAATGAGGAGTGTGGTAAAGAGGTGAAAACGAGAGTCCAGGCAGGATGGCGTGGATGGAGAAAAGTTTCATGAGTGATTTGTGACAAAAGGGTGTCAGCAAAGGTCAAAGGAAAGTTTACGAGACAGTGGGGAGACCAGCTATGTTGTATGGTCTGGAGATAGAGACATGGACAAGAAGACAGGAGAAAGAACTGGAAGTGACGGAAATGAAGATGTTGAGGTTAGAGAGACCAGACTGAGATGGTTTGGACATGAAAGATGTTAGAAATGCAGCTGCCAGGAAAAAGACAAAGAGAATTGCCAAAGAGGAGATATATGGATGTGGTTAGAGAGGATATGGAGGTAGTTGGAGTGAGGACAGAGGATGCAGAAGACAGAGTAAGATGGAGGGAGACTCACTGTGGCGACCCCTGAAGAGGAAAAAGGTGAAAGAAGATCAGTAAATATTTGCAACCTTTCATCAGTTTTCAGAAGTACAACACAATCTGACTGTAACTTGATGTGTATTTATATAAAATTATAATTGTACTAAGGAAATATATGCTCTTTGTTTAACTCTGTTTTCTAATTGTTTTAATCTACAAATAAGAAACACTTAGGTCTAACTTGTGACAATGCACATCCCTGTAATCACTTGACAATAAAACTTGATTTACAAAGTCTGAGCAGCACACATTCCTGCATTCATCATCAGAGTTTTTACCATCTCCCAGAAGAAAGTGGCCATCTCACTGCGGTTCTGTAGAACAGCCCAGATGAAAAGTGAAGGCCAGGGGGTGGAGCACCGCCTTGTTTGATATATGCGCTCTCCACGCAGCAGCTTACTTACACGCTGGGATGAATTATAAAAAATAAAAACTGATGAGGTAAAGCTACACGAATGTTTGAAGGGATACAGTTGTAACTTTTTCAGCCTAAACCTTGTTTTGCATATTTGATTATTAACAAAAATAAATGAGTACCCTAAGAGCTATCCTTTGGGATGAGACATTTTGTAAGCCCAAAACGTCATAGTAGAACAGCTCACAAATGTCACCCATTAATATTTCCAGGACTCCTGAAATCTGACAAAACACAACAAAAAGCTTTGTTAAATGGCGTTTTCCTCATAATACTTCACATGGGTAACACGGACCAAGACCATTGGAACATTTTCAAAATGAAGCTCACCTCAAAAAGGGTGATCTCAGACTGTGTTTCACTCTGAACTTTCTCTGTTAATAATTTAGACTGTGTCTCTGGTAAACTCTCTGGTGGATGTGATGTAGGCATAGGTGTAGTTCCAACTCTCATGGCTAAGCGGCGCTGAAGTAGCTGGTATAACGGTGTGCCCTCAGCCACAGATCCATAGAGCTGTTCCAGTCGTCCATAAGTCAGGTAGTCCAGGATGTTCAGGCCGTTCTCAGTGAAAAGACGAACAAACTGAGGCTTGTCGTTGATCAGGACATCCGTCATGGACCCTTCTAAGTCCTCATACTGTAGGATTAGATTAAAAAATAAAAATCAGGCAAGAAATCTTATTTAACAAAATGCTTTTGTTTAGCTGGGACATGCTTTATATAACAAAATCTTTATAGAATGCATCTAATTCAGATTGTTGGGTTTATCTTCTCACCCTCCACTGGATGTCTCCATTAAAGAGTTCACTCTTAGCAATGTCCACCCTGTTCCAAGCAACAGCTAGGTTGAGCTCTTCACTGTAAGGAGAGGCGTCAACTGAGACACGATGCTTACTTGCTGAAAAACAGAGTACCGCATACAGCAAATTATATGGCTGTCGACAAAATATTATACAGCAATCTATAACAATAGCTTGACAAGCAAAGACCTTGTATAACATTTGACATCGACTTGTGGCATTGATCTTGGAGCTGGGGTCATGAATAGCATATGTGACATTATCTAGTGATGATGCGTTCATGAATTATTATTATTTTTTTATTATTATCTTGAGCAAATCATAAGTTATGGGCAGGACAATCAAAAGTTGATTTTTACAGACGGATGGATGGAGACTATACTATGGTATGGTCTCCAAAGCCTGTCTTTCAAAGGGCACAAAAAAAACAAGATCATGCACACATAATCACCAAAATAAGGAAATTTGTTGTCTTATCGCATAAAAACAAGTGCAAAATGTTGTTTTACTCACCTCTTACTAATGCTTTGAGCAGAACTGTATCAAAATCAGTTGGACTCTCCTGCTCTCCATGGTAGATTGTTATAAAGTCTTTGTTCTGGTAAATGCTGAGAGCCTGAAAACAAAAGTTAGAAGACAGAAAAACACTGAACAATGAGCACATAACCTAGTGTCATTAAAAAAAGCCTAGAATGACCGTATTTTCTGGACTATGGCGTTCCGGAATATAGGTTGCATCAGTCAAAAAATGCTTCATGAAGAGGAAAAAAAAACATAAAAGTCACTTCAGAGTATAAGCTGCATTTATTTAGAAGTGTATTTCACAAAGTGCAAAAACAGACATTTAATCCGAAATAACATTAACACACAAGTCAAGTCAAGTCAAGTCAAGTCATATTTATTTATAGAGCACAATTTAAAACAGATAGACTGTTATCAAAGTGCTTAACAGAACATACTTGGGATCCTGAACCGGCTTAATTAACGTAACAAGCTAACAAGTCCAAAAAGCGAGTAACTGGTAAATTCACCAATCTCATTCCACATCAATGAATCCATTGGATTCTTCATCTTCGATGTCGCTTCTGAACAGGTCTGCCAACTCCGGAGGAAAATGACGCGCAGTCTCCTCTTCTGCGGGGCAGTCATCAGACTCCACATCAGCTCCAGTTATTTTGGCCTTTCTGAATCCAGACAGGATGGTTTCAGTTGTCAATGAAGTTCATGCTTTGTCAATCCATCCAAGGACTTGCAGGAAAGTTGCATGGTGTGTCCTTCCGGTTGCCGTGAATGTGTGCTCTCCATCCACCATCCACTCCTCCCACATGTGATGCAAGGCTGCCTTAAAGTTCCGGTTTACTGAGATGTCGAGAGGCTGGAGGACTTCGGTTAAGCCTCCAGGGTGATGGCAGGTATGGAGTTGCAAGCTTTTATTTTATCTTTGAACGGTCGCGTTATGTGCGTTCGCATACTATCCATCACGAGCAGGGCTTTGCATGTTTCAAAGAAGCCATCAGGATGCTTAGTGTAGCACTTTGTCAGCCAAATGTTCATCATTTCTTGATCCATCCAACCTTTCTCATTCACTGCCACAATTCATCTTTTGGCATAGTTTTCCATTTGAAAATGACCATCGGTGTCAATTTTGATCCATCTCTACAACATGCTAGCACCACTGTGAAGTGTGATTTCTCATGACCAGTTGTCACTATATTCATACTTTCTGCCCTTTCTGTGCAACACTTAGGCCCATGGGGATGTCAAACGTGAGGGGGACCTCGTCCATGTTGATAATATGATCTGCTGACATGTTGTGTTCCACTACCTGCTTTCTAACAAACTCATGGAAACTGTTGACCTTGACTTGAAAGTCTGCTGGCAGTTTCTGACACACCGATGTCCATGCTCTAATGGAGAGGTGGTTACATTGCATAAAGCGATAACACCAAGAAGGTCTGCCAGCAAATTCATTAATATTCATCTCCTTGGCAATGGCAATGGCCATTGCGTGGACGCAACTGGACCGTTGACAAGCCCCTCCCAGCAGTACATTCTTCCAGCACCCATATGTGCACTTGTTCCTCCAGCTCTGGGCATCTTGCTTTCAGCCCGCAATTAGCTTTCTTCACTTTCTTCATTGCAGAGTAATCTCTGCTCTTCGCCAGTCCCTCACAAGTTTCTCACTCACTTCAAACTTTCTTTCTGCTGCTCGATTAACGTTTTGAGCTGTACATTTTATTAACTGCAGTTTGTAATCTGCAGAATAGTATTTTCTTTTGGGGGCATTTTACTTGTGTTAAGTTTTTCTCAGTTGTCTAAGTGAATGTTTGAGGGTGGGGTTTTAGCAGTATATGAACAACATAGTTGTCAAAATCCTAGAGGGCCCTCTCATGGCTGCAAATGGTAATGTTCACTCTTCGGTTCATGTCAGTATGAATGAATATTTAACGTGTCAGTCAAAAATTAAGTCATGAATAGGGGAAAAAATGTAAATAAGTCACTTTGGACTATATGTCACAGGACTGGCCAAACTATGAAAAAAAGTGCGTCTGGAAAATACAGTAGTTGAATTTTTACGACAATTTTATCTAATCATTGATATTTTAAGTTCTCAACATCCTTAAAATGTCACCACACACTTCAGAATTGCCCCTTGTATAAAACAGACACCAGTGAGTAGACATGAACATCAATACTACTATATTTGTGGTATTTCTAAATTCACTAATCCTACTGACCAACAAGTGAGTTACACTGTACTTTTTTCGTTCCTTAATTTTGATTTAACCACTGTACGCTCACATTAACCAATTTTTTTTTTCCTGCAGGACATGTCAAGTGAAGAAAATGTGTTTTAGTACATCCTTAATTCTGTTGACTGGTTGCATCATACGTATGTCTTAGTTTTGCTCATTTTTAGGGGGACTAACTCTGAAGACAATAACTTTTAATGTTGATTTTATTATTTTTATTTTTTTACTGGGACTTGTAGCTAATTACCAAAAAAGCAACAAAAAAAAATCTAAAAAAATAGAATAAAGTGTATCTTTTTCTACATCTCTTACCTGTTCAACAAGTTTATCTGTTTCTGGTTCAGAAGAAAAGTGTTTCTTCACTCGTTCCGTCACTTTTTCTTTCAGATCCACACTGGCCTCGCTGTCCCCCTCATTAGAAGACTGGAAGGCTGTGGCTGAAGACAGATTCTCCAAGAGGTCACTCAGGAAGTCTGCAATGCCTCCTGAACCGGCCAGGACCAACAAGGGAATGGAGTTTTTCAGAGAAACATCCACTCTCTGGCAAAATGTTGAATATCCGTGAATAAAAAGGCAAATCAAAAGTAAAATTTAGCACATTTCACATAAATACTGTACGTCTCGTCATATTTATTAAACGTCATGATTCTACCTGCAGCATGCTCGTCTCCCCTGATATCAGCATACACAGGACAGGAATGTCAATGCTGCCGCTACCTGTTCAAAAAACAAAACAAACAAAAATATAAAAATCTAATATTTTCTAAACACAAATTACTATTTTTTTATTTTAAATTTCACAAACTGAGACAGAAGGGTAATTATATTTATTAAATTAACATTCTTCCTGAAGCACAGTACAGTGTAAGTTGCAGCGATTAACAGAACTACCACAGTGTGATTTTTTTTTTCTTCAAACATTCCTTTGCATGGCATTACATGTCTCAAATGGTTGAAGAGACATGCAATGCCATGTTCCATTCCAGTGGAATTCAGGACTGAGTGCACAAGCACAGAGCTTATTGGAGACATTTTATTTTAAATACTGGTCAACTCAATCAAAAAAGATTTATCAACTGCAAAGGACAGGAATGTCAATGCTGCCATTTCCTGTTAGAAGAACAAAATGCTGCACATTTTGTACACAAATTCCTTTTAAAATCACTGAGACAAAACTTAAAATACATATTAGAATATGCTATTTGCATAACATTTCTTTTATACAGTGAAACAAGTTATTAAAAACGCTTTCATTGGCTTGTTGAAAACTTTATTCACGCTGAAGACCCGTGTGTCATTTTTTAGATGTGCAGTAGTTTCTATTCAGTGGATGACCACCGATCTTTGCATTAATAAATAAAGGATTACTAAAATGGCCACATGGGTTGAATTAAATGTTGCGTGCATGAGCCCTGAGCTTAAAGGACAAATATCTTTGTCAATTTGAATTTAAGCAGAACAGAAGTAATGTTTCTCACCCCATATTCCTGTGCGCTGATGGGAGATGAAGTCCTCCAGTTTGGCTCTGAAGGTCGTCTCCCCTCCTCTGTGGCCCACACTCCCATCATCCACCAGCAGGAAGGCCTGGTAGTTGTTATCCAGGCTGCAGGAATCTCGAGATGAGCTCTGCACGTAGTATTTAGCAGGAAAACAGCCCTGCAAATTTAAAAAATGTAAATAAATGGATATATTCTTTTTTAGGATTAGGCTTAATCTGCTCCTTAGATTTTACATTTAAATTGTTGTAAATACCTATGAAATCAAAATAAATCTAAATATAATTTTATTGTATGTATGATATAAATACAATTGGTAAAAAAAAAAAAAAAAGGTTTAAATAGAGTAATGCTTCAAACGCATTTAAATCAAGAAACCTACGCAGAGCTAAAAAAACCGCAAAAAATATATTTTATTTTGAAACTGATTCTTCTATCTGATACTGATATACAACAAATCACATATACTGTAATACTTCTTACTGTGTGGGGAAAAAGTCACTGTAAATCTCTGTACAACCTTCGGATTGACAAGTTGCTCTCTGTTGTGCACCAAACCCCATGAAGCGACGCCCAGTGCCACCACTCTGTTGATGGAGTCTGAAGAAGCTGCAGTGGCGTGATCTCTCACCGCCTCGCCGACACACCTACCAACACCTTCACGCAATCCTGCAGTCAGGATCCACGCTGCTCCTGGACAGGAAAAATGCATCACTTGTCAAAGTAAATACATACAACCACCTATCTATTTTCATTTTCTTTCCCGCTGTGCATTTAAAATGATATTTAAACAAGTCACATAAAATATATACTATATTTACTTCTTGCAGAATAGGACTAAAGACAAAAATAAAGATAATGAAACAAAAAAAAAAGGGAAAAGATGTAAAAAAAAAATACATTGTTCAACAAATATTCTATAAACACCGTTTTAAAACACAACAGTACAATGACTTTAATTTTGTGTTAAATAAAGATAAAAAAAAAAACATATGAAGAGTTGAAACTGAGATATTATAGTTTATTTATTATTGTAAATATTTATTTTGAATTTGATGCAAATAAAATCTATGAAAAACTTGTTGCTACTCTAGCAGAGTTTCATTGTGAGGGTTGTTTCTAGTCTGCAAAAACATGTAGGTAATGTCAAAGTAACATCTATGTGAAGGCCAGAATGCTAAAAGGTACATAAACACATAGCTGCACCTTCTGAGAAGGCTGACGCAAAAGTTAGCATTTGTCACTTTGTAAGAGAGGACAGGAAGTTGGGATTGTGACTGATGAGCAAAGTGGATTACAGAAGGATGTAAACGAGACCCAAGTCCAAAAAGCAGTCAAGAAATTTGAAAACATGCTGACATTTTGTCGTCAGGACACGTTTACCTGCTCTTTGAGAAGCTTTCACAAGTCCTTGCCTCAGAACCTCCCGCACCCAGGTCTTCACCTTTGTCCTGCTTTCTCCTCCCACAACAGAAACCACCAGGTTGGGTGCAGGGAGACTCCAGTGGGTCGTCAACATGGTGTAGACCATGGACGGAGAGGAGTCCCATGACAGACGCAAGAACTGAGCTCCCCATCAGAGACAAATCAGACATTTGGTTGAACAAACGTGTCATATGTTACAAGTAAACAAAAACTGGTTAATGCTGAAGATCAGATGAGCAAAAGATTAATACGAATGTGATTTCATGATCTCAAACTCGGTGCATTGTCTTTGTTTGTACATCAATAAGCCATAGGGTTAATATAAAAAATACTGACTATTGCAGCAAATTAATAATATCTCTGTCAATAAAAGTTGTCATTTATTAATTAGTTCAGAGAAGT